AGTACAGGTAAAGAGAGTTGTTCTCGCTTCCTGAGAAAAATAAAAAAAGAAATCCAATGTTTTTAGTTTGGGAAAGCTTAGAATCGGGACATCACAAATTCAAAGGCTAACAATCTTTTACAGTTATGAAAGACCAGAGCATAGGATTTCCGGGGAATCGTGAGAGAAAAGGATTCACAGAAAAAAACTATACTAATCTAAAGAAATAACCATTGTTAAATGCTATAACAATACTGATGTAAAAATTTATAGCAGAGATGTAGAGAAGAATCAGAAATTTGTTATTATAGCATGATACTGAATTACATTTAGAAAAATTTCTGTCTAGAGAGGAAAAAGAAAGTTATAGCACTTAAAAAGGTAAAATTTTATAACCTACAAAACTTATTTCCCAATATAAGCATTACTGCTATTACATGAGTAGTCTAAAAAGGCCTGTATTTTTGAGCAGTCTATCAAAGTATAATTATGGAAGAGATTTGCTTTGACAGGGTTTAGGTTCATAAACATGTAGAGAGTCAACTTTCCTAAGTAAAGGCCAAGTCACTTCAAAGTACTGACAAAAGTTCATGTATTCAGGCATCAGATATATTAAAGCATTTGAACAGTACCAAATTTGAGTTTTCTACTTCTGATTTAAATTGGTATAGATTATCAACAATGAAAGGCCAAGAATAACAAATCAAGATACCCAAATAGGCTGGTTGTTGAAGAGAACACTATAGAGGGGGAAATGAGTATCAAGCTTAAGAAGACAAATAATGCCTCCAAAATTAAGACATCAGAAATTAATATTTTCCATCTTCTACATAACATCTATAGAAATTATGTTTTGATGGAGAAAAACACAAAAGCTATACAACAATCTTATGCTATTTCATGTGGTCAGGGCTTGTGCTCAGCAAAGGAGGAAGGACTAATGTTTTTTCTCATCTGAGGAAAATTCAACGTGCTACCTTCCGAATGTACAGATAACTTCCTGAGTTGCTATGTAGTCTGTTTCCACTGAATGCAATTTCAGTGACAGCTACCTGTTAAAAAGTTGCAGGAAGAGATAGTTTCACTTACCACAAGCTATATAATCCCCATTGGAAGCGAGGCCTACGAAGTTTTTTTCATTGATGTGACCCTTGAAGGAACGTAGACAGTATGGCTTCCCTACGTTCCACAGCTTTAGCTGGCTGTCTGTTGAGCTGAGATAAACACACAAAGTTAGAACATACTTAAGATTTCATGGCATGAAACTCATCACTACTAATTAGAGGCAATCCAGTTTGGTGGTTAAGAATGCAGACTCTGGAGCCAGACTGTCTGAGTTAGAATGCTCAGTGAGCTGTTAATTTGCTTTTGACCTTAGGACAGTTACACAACCTCTCTGGCCTCAACTTTTTTGATCAGTTAAATGTGAAATATAATGATTCCTACCTTAAAGACTTAGATTATCAACAACGAATCACTTTAAATCATTTTATGCCTTCAGCAGTCTCTGGGCATGTAGGAAGAAGTCCTTAATAAGCAGCAGCCATCAATGACACCATACCACAAGCACCGAACAACAAGAGACCCCTGCTGGAGCTCTGCTTAATGTCAGGGATATAGCTGTTCCCGTTGATTTGATTTACTTTTCAACTGTTACAGCATATTAGTATACTGAATATAAATTGTTTTCACAGCTTAGCTGGACTTATAGGGGTGGAATACTATGAACGGTTGAATGGTCTATATAAAGTGGTTTATCTTACTAAAATAATATGTAAGTGCAATTATTAATCTAAAAATAATTGAATATAAAATCATGCTAATCCTATCATATAGTCTTAGGATTCGAATAAAATATCATTTTTGTTTTCTTCTACTTTCTGTTGCAAAAATTGGATCTTACAACACGTATTACTTTGTAAACTGCTTCTCCTCATTCAACATTTGTTTTATAGTTTTAATGTAAAATAAATACATCTCTGTATCCTTACTAATGACTATACAATACATCACCTTATCTCTTACTCTAACATTCACAGAATAGGGCACCATGCTAAATGTTTTACATATATTATTTTATTTAAAGATTCACAATATAAGATATCTACTATTATTAGCTCCATTTCAGAGATGAGGAAACAGATTTAGAAGGTTAAGGACATTTTCAAGGTACCACAGCAAGTAAACAGTAGAGCCAAGAATGAAGCTGTCTTTTTTCAGAAGCCAAACTCCAAACTTTTCAAATATCTCTCTTTTTAAATCGCATCTCCTCTTTTTTCAATATAACATCTACTCTTAGACATTTATGTTGTTTTAAATTTGTTTTTTGCTCAACAATATTGCACTGAAATATCCCTTTATATGTGTGTGTGTGTGTGTGTGTTGTGTGTGTGTGTGTGTGTGTGTGTGTTGTCCAAGAACTCAGAGGTTGCAGCAGTATGTATATATTTTAATATTACTTTTTAATATTTCCAAATATACTTGTGAACAAGTTTGTCTTATATACTTCTAGATAGCAAATACATCCAAGAGGAAAATCATTTTGATTCATAAAAACTAAGAAAGAAAAAAGATTGAATATATAAACCACAAATCCAAATAAAAAAGATCAAACAAGATTTCCAATTTATACAATTAAGTATACATATATTTCAAATAACTGGAATCAAACTAATTGATTCAACATTTATAAATCTAAAATTGAAGAAAAATATTTTTGCCACATAATCTACCATCCATATTTGAATCTGAATAAAATTTTAATTATTTACTGGCCATTATTACCCCTAAAGGTGGGATACTTTTTGACTGCTCACCATCTAATTTAGATTTGTGAACCAATTACCTAGATCAAATTCCTTTTGAAAGCTCAGCTCATTTTCTTTTTTCCCCTTATTTGTAACTCAATTCAAATTATCTTGCTAAATTAATTCAAGTTACCAAGTTCTTATCTAGAGCAGCCAGTACAGAGGCAGATGTAGTGGGAAGGAACAAGCATAAGGCACTAGCATTATTAACCTCCTGAGAGATACTAGAAACTATGTGAAAAGAAAAAAACAATGTATGATTAAGCTTGAGAAGAAATACCATATATGGAAAAAAGGAGATTAAGAATGGGTATTTACTAGGATAAAATAAAGAGAACTATGAAATGGGTAACAGACCAAAGGGACTGCCCCTTGTCAGCAGAAGCGCTCAGTCAACTGTACTTTAGCAGCGGAGGTTTATTTACCTGGTTGACATCTTGTTATCTTCAAATAAAATAAAATACAACTAAAAGCTTACATTAGATTCTCTAGTTCAGAAGCTTTCTCAAATAATATGTCAGGTGTAAGCGGTCTTATTTAGAAAGTTCTCTTCAAAACACATTTGAAACTCACCATGACATCATATGGAGATCAAGCAACATGGAATCACAAAAGTCAACCACATATTGCTTAAAACCAAAAATAACAGTACTACTCTGCAATGCAGATAAATATAACATATTAGTTGACTTTAATAAATAAAACACTTTTCCTTCTACTGCATCAACTATGTTGTTTCTCTCTTCTTAAGGAGCAGTGGCTGAAATCCAGTCTGAAGTTCAAATGTTTAAGGGGCAACATTACAAACTAGTATCATCAGGATTTTATTCACAAGTAACGTATAAAAGTGATCAATACAGACCAGAATATACATGTATTTAACTAGGTAAGTTATAAAAAATTAACTTATTTAATAAAAAAAAGTGCATATACCACAGTGTTACTCTTTACATATACCCACGGTGACATCAGAAACTAGTAAATCATGTTAAGCTCATCTTCTGAAGAGAGTAATACTCACGCAGAGACAATTTCCTCACCACTCACAAACTTTGCATAAGAGACTGCTTTTCGGTGTCCTTTGAACACCATGATTGGCTGTTTAGTGTTACGAAGATCATAGTAGTGAACACAGTGATCTAAAATAAAAGAAAACAAGCAAAAAGAGAAAAATGTAGTCAATAAAGAAATGGAAAGCAAAGCTAGTTTTAACTGGTTTTGGCATTTTACAGCAAATGTTTCAGGGACAATGTCAAACCTGTAACAGCCAGAAAACTAAGGGCAATGACTCATTTTCAAAGATAAGAAAGATATAGAAGGTTGTCTGTTTTGAATCTACAAGAATATGATTGGATAAAAAAAGTGTATACGCATATACCAGTATCACTCTGAAAGGGAGTTCCCTGATATTTCCTGCGATCTTGGCTCTAACAATATGAAGGGTTCAAAGTAACTGGAAATTTTAATGTATCTTTATCCTTATATTTTGACGG